GTATCACTCCATTGTAAAAGAGCTAATTTGTTTGCCAAGAATAATAATTGTAAATACAGTATATAAAATAAGTCCATAAGTAAGGTATTACAGTATTTGTTTCTCTTCAATTGAGTTTGACAAGTTGGTTCATCTTTCTATTACAATGTTGTGTTGATCACATCAGTTGTCTTAACAGCCACATTAATGACTCATTCAAAACATTTTCAAACACTGGACAATAAAGTCTTATGCAATTGTAAAGGAAAGTTAAGACGTGCTTCACACCAACACTTATACCTGGTACAGCGACTACTGGTGTTTGTGATGTGTGGCAACTCACATTGTTTACTTCATATTAAAACTCCTGAAATGACCCTAAGGAACCTCACAATAGTAACCAGACTAAGGATGCTAGATAAGCATTGCACACAGAAGCCACACCTCAGCCACTGTACCAGGTATAAGTGCAGGTGACTGTACCTCTGGCTGGCAGGATTATTCCCAACATCCATAATAATATTTTTCATGTTGTCTTTCACCAAACTTCATCATTTTACAAAATATTTAAAAAAAAATTTTCTCGATATGGTTACACTATTACAAAAATAAACTGTTAATACACATGGTAATAGAGTCTGCCTGGGAGCCAGATGGTGATGACATACATACAGTACACTTAAGTACCTGTAGTACAAAGTGTAGTGAACCTGAGACATACACTTAAGTATAGTGAACCTGATCACATAGGAACTGTTAATATTGTTTTACCTGAATCACAGTTACTGCCACCATTCTGAAATTACACTGTGTGATTTATTCAAGGAGTTACATTCTTACTTACACATTTTATATGCAAACAGGTTAAAAATATTTCAGAATATTGGCAAAATCTGCACAGAACTTCACACAATGTTTCCTATATAATTCAAAATGGTCTTAATAAATTACACAGGATAACTCTGAAGTTTTAGGAGATTTATTAATAATTAGCATCCTATTGTATAGTGTTATACTGTGTACTGTGTATATACTGCATAACATATGCATAGTATATTTAGTGTTGTACCGTGTTACAGTACACAGTAATATACTATACAGAACTGTACTTGTACTGTACATAATGTTATACAGTGTACAATACTGTATATACATGTATATTGTAATTGTATAATATATACTGTATAATACTGTATACAGTATAAACACAGTGTAGTATATACAGTAATAACAAGTACAGTACTTACATGACTGCCTATTTTTATGAACTCTGTAATTTATATTAATGAAGTTTACTGAATGTACAGTACAGTGATATCCCCGTTAGCCAGAACAATTGGTGCAGAACACTTCCAGGAATGAGAGATTTCCGGATAACGAGACGATTCTCTTGAACCCGGAAAAATATCCCTCATCCCTGGAATTTTCCAGCTAACGGAAAATTTTTCTCGGAATTTCCAGAAAATGCTCCTGAATTTCATCTCTCAAACCCGGAAAAAACTCCTCCATCCCCAGAATTTTCGTGCCCCTCGGAAAATCGTTCCCAAAGCCGCAATTTTCCGGAAAATTCCGGCTTTGGGAACAATTTTCATAGAAAATTTAAATTCCGGCTATCAGAGAGTTCCGGGTTTGAGTAATTCCGGCTAACGGAGATACAGTATTACTGTATTTCTGAAGCCTTGAGAGAAGACCGTCCTGTAGACAGTTACTTGTGTTAACAAAAGCTTGTGAGCAACTGTTGGGATTTAGCCAAAGTGTATTAAGAAAAAGATGATCACATGGGTGGGCCTTCTGCTGTTCTTACATTTTCATGAAAATATTAAATTTTTTTGATGTTGTATTAGCAAATGTCTTTATAAAGTCTTCAATAATTTGGTTTACTTAATAACATTTTAAAACTTGGGAGTTTATGCAGCCAAACTTGCTTATTCTTATGATTATTTTGATTATTCAGAAGGCTGCTTGCAGTCATGTAGAGTACAGTATGCATAAACCTGAGCTTAACGCCCGGAGTTTTAATCACCCTCTTCTGTAGACGGGCGTCATTGTGTTTACAACCACAGTTTTGAGTCATAAAGGTACAGTACAACACTCAACAGGGAAGTGTGGAGATAAAATGAAGTAATTCCAATGTTATAAATTTATTTTACCACCACACTTCCCTGTTGAGTGTTGTACTGAACCTTTGTGACTCAAAACTGTGGTTGTAAACACAATGACCCTCGTCTACAGAAGAGGGTGATTAAAACTCTGGGTATAAATGTGTTGGTGCAGATATCCACAGGATAAAGCACTTGGTACTAACGGTAAATGGGGAAGTAGAGGTAATGTATTAGAAGGGAATTCATTCACCGTGACAAACTATCAGTGACTAATAATTATGCTAAAACTTACATAAATAATATGAAGCCTAAAAGCAAATTTCATTACAATAAATGAACAATTGGCATTGAAAATACAGTTTAGATATTATAGATACAGTACAGCACTGTATTTCTAAAATGTTTGATGCTACAGTGTATCTTCTTAAAATTCTCCAATATCAAGTAATTTCTCCTTAAAAGCTCCTTTTTTAATAATGATGACATAAGTTACCTTTGTCCTGTATATAATTCATTTACAAAGATATTTTTCTAGGTGGATTTCAGTCTCAAAATGTAGAAAGCATTTAGTGACAGAACAAATACTAGGTAAAAATTATTTGGTGGCAGATCTAAGCTGAAAGTTACAATGTATTGTACAGTAAATACAGTACAGTACAGTACAGTACTGCATACACCTTTTTTATGGAGAGTGGAGCAAGTTTTAGTGTTTTGGGAAGAGTACAACTGGTTCCTAGTGAAAGAAGAACTTCATCCAAATTGCATAATGGACCAATAGTTGTTCAACATTTTTATGGATAAGGTTGAACAAGATCTGAAACAGGAGTGATGGAGGTTAGGTTAGGTTAGGGCAGTGCAAGTTTGGTTAAGAATAATGCAGAATGCAAATGGGAGGTGAGTCAGTTGCTGTTTGTAGATGACACTGCTCAAGTGGCTGATATAGAAGAAAAGTTTTAAAAAATTACTTGATAATGGACTGGGAGGGGAACACATGGAAGTATTCACGATGGAAGTAATGTTTTTCCTGTCACAATATGTATTATGTCTTGGGTTGCTAATAAATCCTAATATGATTAAGATAGAAGACCGCTTTGATTTTATTATTGCAGTACCGTATTTGTTTTACCTATAAATTAATACAAATTGTAACTTTTGGTTTTCTAAGTAAATGGCATGAGTTAACATCACTATGGTCATGGTTCCTAAACACAATAGTAAACACTGAGAATGATCCAACATCTTCCAACATAATAACAATTCTCCCATCATTATTTTCATTACCATCATCATAACAACGTCAGAAGGAAAGTAACGTTGCAGTATTGTCTTAAGGGAACGTCTACAAGGAACACCAGCTTAAACATTGCCTTAAGTTGATGTTCCCCTAAACTCGTGGATTTGCTATGGCCTTCATAGTCTGGCAGTTGGAGATAAAAACCTGTTTTAAAGTACCGTGTCTTGTTGTTTCTAGTAGGTTGGGTTGGGTTAGTTTAGGTAGGGCAGATCTTGTGGTTCACCAGTGCAACATGCCACCTTGTCACCGCTAATGGAAATTTAGTATAAAGAGAATTCTTAATTCCTGCCGTCGAAACTGAATATTGGCTCAAAAATGACGTTAATTTGATTTTAGTGGCAAATCCTATACAGTATTTTCAAGTGAAGGAACCAGTTCAACAAAAAGTATTCTGTGATATTCTAAATTAGGAAAACTTAACCAGATATTAACATAGAAGTATTTTGTGGTCTATGAAAATATTGGTACAGTACAATTAGATAATTTTTGTTCATAATCTGATATGTTGAATGTGAATTTGGCAGCCATTTTGAATTATTTTAAGACTACTATTTAATATTTGAACGAGACTTGAGGACAGTTGAGAATAGTTAGTTGATTCTAAGAGACAGAAATCTCTCCCTAAATAAATGAATACTCTACTGTTTAATTTAGAAAATCTATCATATTGATAATACAAATTGTGAAAAATAAAATTGTGCATAATTTCTGTACTTTTGTACATTATATCTAGACTCTGTATAGAAGCAGTTGACACGTTTAAGGAGGTTTATGGTTACAGTGTTCTTATATCAGAAGACAAGGAAAACAAATCTGTTGTCTCTGATGTAATACCCGGACTGTACAGTAGTCTGGACGTACCTTTGTTTTTCTTGTAAATGCAATAAATATTGTCACATACAGTACAGTATATTTGAGTGAAAAAGAAAAATATTTTTGTATTTTTGTTTTTTTTTCAAATACTGTATAGAAAAACTTATGATATCAAATGTCCAGTACTTATACTGTACTATACAGGGTACAGGTACATACTTAGTTTTATGAATTCCATATTTCATTCCTGAATACAAGTGAGACTGTACCTGTAAGCTTGTTTGTATGTAAAAAAAAACGATAATTTTGGACAAAAATAATATTTATGAGACTAATGAAACAAATATTAGTCTATGAAACATTTTAGCTGCAAACTTCCTCATGTGCTTCACTGAGTAAATCAACCTTATTGAATAAGTACTGTGTAGTGTACAGCAGAGAGATACAAAACCTTAGAGCATTGTTAACAACAGCCCGAGAACGTTTAGAGTGGAGGACTGTGGTCGCCAACCCTCAGATATAAGGACGGTACCTCACTCTGATTGAGTAAACAGTATTGGCAACAATTCATTTGCCATCGTACATTACCATATCAAAGTCTTTTTATAATAAGCAACAATTTTCAATGAGACAATTTCATTCCTGTAACTATGTGACCATAATCAAGTAGTAATTAACAGTCATAAAGACAGTAATATACTATACATACAGTATTAGATAAATGTCATGGCTTGAGGTGCAGTTCCTTATAAGATACAATACTGTTTTGTATCTCCTATTAAATATAACCAGCCCCGATCTTCTCTCCTGGGCTACACTCTCGTCTCCCCGAGCTCTGACTCTGGATCATCATTTCCTCTGCTCTGAAGATAAAAATATAAACCATTAATGCTTCATTTACAATAATTTCCTGTAAAAAATATACTTAAAAAAATAATATTTGTTGATTTACAATGAAAAATTACCCTGCTAAATACACTGGAACCTCTACTTAATGGACTACCTTGTACGTATATGGATACGGAAAGTCGTTATATCAAGGGTTTGTTACATTTAACGGATAATATGAAACAATAAGTCCATTATACAGGTACACCACCGAGAACTGATGGTCCGGCACCTCCTTTAGTCCGGACAGAATTATGAGAGGGGCACTTAACTTTCCTCCCTCCCTCCCAGCCAGGGTGAAGGTACTTTTAAGCTTAAAGTTTTTATCTTATAAAATGTAGCAGACTAGACTTAGCATAATATAATTTACATTGCTGGAATCCTTGTAAGATATTGATTAATTTGAGTATAAACATCACATAGTTTGCACAAGAGATAAACATTTTAGTCTAGTGTAGTACAGTACATTTGATTACAAAGTGTGTCCAGTAATGTTGCTCAAAATTATGTCTTTTTCACATTTAATTTACATTTAATATTCGTTTAATTTAAGTTTCTAGCAGTCCATGGTGCTTTAGAGACACAGGAGGTGTATAATTAGTGGGTCAGAGGCGTACTGTTGAATTATAATTACCTGACCTAGGTTGGTCCGGCAAAACAGATAATCCGGCAAGGCTTTGGAACCAAATGTGCCGGAAAATCGGTGGTGGACCTGTATAGAGGTTTCACTGTACACAGATATAATGTATCTTGGTGATGACTGAGAGTGAGTCTATTGGTGAAGATACTGCACCTAGTTATAATGGCTCCTGCTATACAATATTTATCACAAACATGCAGACAATAGTATATATGATCACATGCCATGAAAGACTTAATAAGTGCTGTAGTAGTATGATATAAACTAATAAGAAAATGATACTTATTTTTGTTGTTTTAAGGACAATTAAAACACCAAAATACCTGCAGATTCTCTATAAAACAAACACTAACATTGTATGAAACCTGTGTGTTTAGTTACCTTTTCTGGCCGCTGTGCACAGTCAGCTATAAGATGGTCCTCACTCTTACAGTAATGGCATCGTTTAGGCTGAGGTCCCATTGTACACTTGGCGGCAATGTGGTTAGCAAACTCACCACAGTTGTAGCATCTGTTAAAATCGGGGAATATAAGTTAATGTTGTTAGTTACATGTTAAATATGTGGGACTAACACAGCTTTTGGAAATGGTTATAGTGCTCAAGAGGATATTATCCAAGGTTTATAAGTTACAATAGGTACTGTACTGGTATCATACTAAGTTACAATAGGTACTGTACAGGTATACTAAGTTACAATAGGTACTGTACTGGTATCATACTAAGTTACAATAGGTACTGTACAGGTATCATACTAAGTTACAATAGGTACTGTACAGGTATCATACTAAGTTACAATAGGTACTGTACAGGTATCATACTAAGTTACAATAGGTACGATATTGTACTGGTATATAAAATTACAATTGGTATCCTAACATGACCTCAGATGACCCTGCTTGTCTTAATTTAACTTACCTCCTCTTAATGTGACCTTATATTTGTATAAACTCCCTTCAGTATTTTATTAAGACTTTAGTGACCTATCTTAAGGTATTGTGACCCGAATTGCCTTTTACCGAAATGACCGTAAACAGCCTCTCTCTTATGACCTATATTAACTTAGCATGACACTCTTAATCGTGTTTCCTTCACTACCATATGACCCTAATTACCCGCCATAACTTAGTGTGGCCCAACTTAAGTTCTTATCTTAACGTGATCCCAATTGATTCATCCTTATCTTCATGTGACCTAATGACACTCCTTAACGTGACCCCCCCCCCTCAGTTATTCATCTTGTCATTTATCATCCTAATTATACCTTCATTATCTTAGTATGACCCCACTTACCTTATTTATCATCCTAATTATACCTTCATTATCTTAGTATAATACCAGTAGACCATTTGCTTATCTCAGCATGACCACACATGCCCTTTACCTTATCTTTCTGAAGCGTTTCTTGGTCATTGGTCGTCTGTGAGAGCCACGGCACTCGGCTCCAGCAGGGCCCGTCACTATCGTCGCCTCCTGACCCTTATCTGACACCTTACACTCGAACTCCACTTGTTCCTCCTCTCCCAGGCTTCTGAACCCAGACATCTTGATCACACTCTGTAATATATTATGTACTGTACTGTAGTCTTTATGGTGTGGGCAGAGTGGTAGTGATGATAGTGGTGATGATGCTGGTGGTAGTAATGATGATGGTAGTGATGATGATGGTGGTAGTAGTAATGATGATTGATGATGCTGATGGTAGTGATGATGATTGATGGTGGTAGTAATGATGATGATGAAAACTAGTGTCTAACCCTTAATATGGAATACAGCATATAAGAAAATATTCCCTCAATTAGGTTAGGTTACACTAAGTTAGGTTAAGTTAAGTTAGGTTAAGTTAAGTGTACCTATTCACAATATCTACTTTTCAATGAGGGAGGGACAGTGTGAGGTGTGTGGGTATAACATGGGTATATGTGGGTATGTGTGGGTAAATGTTTTGTGGGGAGAACGTGGGTATGTATCGTGGGTGGAACAACGTGGGTGTATGGACGGTGGGACCATGGGGGGTGTATAGAGGGTGGGACAACGTGGGTCAGTATCGTGGGTGGGACAGCGTGGGTAACAATGGTAGGACCACAGTACCTGGCCTCCACGTGTATTGATTAACGTTATGTAAATACCGGAGAAGAATGTCGCCTTCCTGAGCTCGTAAACAATCAACAATATGAGTTATATTACTTAGGTTTTAACGTTGAGGTTAATAAGACCTTTACCCTTGTTGAGTGTTAAGGTGAGGGTGAGACTTATATCTGGGTCCCTGGGAATAATACTGTACGCGGTCATGATGCTTCCCCGATAAGTCTCATAAAAAAGGACGTGTACATCCTACACTGATGACTGTCTCTGTGTCCCTCTGTTCAATTTATCAATTACCTCGCTTGAGTCACCGCTGTTGCCATTCTATTGTGTATTTTAAGGTAATGAACGAGGAAAATATATATGTTAACTTCTATCAGTTTGGAAAATTATATATCGTCTCTTATTATTTTGAATTTGTACATGGGAAGTCTTATTATTTATGATATCATTATACAAAGGAAGGTATAACAGTTGTCGTTGACGGGAAGACATTGTTTTGGTGAGGGTCGGGCGGGTGGGAGTTAAGGTGCCGATAATAGCGTCGGAAGTCGCGGCTGGTCGCCCACTTCCGGCGGTCTGGTTATCTGGGGCCGGGGAGGAGGCTGCTGCTGCCCACCACATTTACCTGTCTCTTTCACGCTCTTATTTTGACAATTACTTCCTGAATGTTTCCCAACTTTTATTTTCTCGTTCCCTCGTCACCCAAGGATAAAATACTGTTTGTAGTCCTTGTCGCCGCCACTGTTTTTAGCCTCGAGGTTTACAACACTTCTTCCAGCACAAACTAACATGGCCCAGCCGCTCATTGAAAAAGATTTAACTCTGATCTCGTATAGATTATTATATTGACGATAATATTAATTCGTGTTAGAGGACGACAAGTCGTTAAGGGCCAGTTTGGCGCGAATTTGTTTAAGATGTACAAGTTGCCTCACTCTCTCACACACACACCCGGAGTTAAATGGCTTTATGACCTGATGTTAACGATAAAACTTGACACCCACCAGCTGCACTAGTTAACACACCGTGTGCCAGTAGCTTCAACACCCAGCTCTCCAATTACTGCTGGGTATACAAAGGTAAATGGCGTGAAATAACTTGTCCATAATTTTACCCTTCCTGAGGCACTTTGGGGGTAGTGGCCAACACACTCGTCCCGTAAGAGTGTGTGTTGGCCTAGGATTGTAGGTAGTGACCAACACACTCGCCCCGTAAGAGTGTGTGTTGGCCTAGGACTGTAGGTAGTGACCAACACACTCGCCCCGTAAGAGTGTGTGTTGGCCTAGCCCTGTAGGTAGTGACCAACACACTCGCCCCGTAAGAGTGTGTGTTGGCCTAGGATTGTAGGTAGTGACCAACACACTCGCCCCGTAAGAGTGTGTTGGCCCAGGACTGTAGTTAGTGACCAACACACTCGCCCCGTAAGAGTGTGTTGGCCCAGGACTGTAGTTAGTGACCAACACACTCGCCCCGTAAGTGTGCGTTGGCCACGTTCCACTCCACCTCTACAGTGAGTGTAACTTAACAATAAGACTACTATCTAGAGTCGTAAATAACAAACTTAATGGAGATCTGATTAATTCACTTTTATCTGAATCATTGTCTTAGATTGCTTTTAGAAGACTATCGGTGCTTAGGAAATAGATGGATATTAAATTGTCTTAGTAGATAAAACCACTTTATCACTCGGAGCCAATAAGAATATTTTTACAATAATCTGTGCAGGGTGGATTTTGTGGCGGCCATCTTGGAATTATACACATTACCAGAGGGCCCCCCTAACGTAACACAGGGCCCCTCTAACGTCACACAGGGCCCCCCAGCGTCAAACAGCACCCCCAACGTCACACAGCTCCCCCTAACGTCACACAGCAAAAACGTCACACAGCCCCCTAACGTCACACAGCACCCAACGTCACACAGGCCTCTAACGTCACACAGCTCCCCTAACGTCACACAGCACCCCCCTAACGTCACACAGCACCCCTAACGTCACACAGCACCCCTAACGTCACACAGCACCCCCTAACGTCACACAGCACTTCCCGTCACACAGCTCCCTACACGTCACACAGTCTGGCACCTAACGTCAAGCACACTAACGTCACACAGCACTTTAACGTCACACAGCACCCTAACGTCACACAGCACCCTAACGTCACACAGCACCCCCTAACGTCACACAGCACCCCCTAACGTCACACAGCTCCCCCTACCCCCGCCAGCGTGTGCCCTCAATACAGGCAGCTGGCAGATGTGTATATAAAAGTATGCTGCTCCGCTAAACCCCGCCTCACTCCCTCCCTCCCTGCACCTCTCCCTTCCCCCACCCCTCCCCCCCTTCCTCGCGGATCTACATATAATCAGTCATCTCAAGAGCATTTTCCCCTCCATTCTATCACATAATTATATCAGAGTATAACACAATTATAGATGTAAATATTGTCTACTTATGCTTGATGACTATAATTTCAGGCAGACTTGTGGGTAGTAGTAGTACGTGTAGGTAAGAGCCGACGACACTCACACAAGGCTGAGTGGCGTAGTAACAAGCAGACAGGCTGAGGGAGGGACAGTCCACACGCGCGATATGCTAATGGTGAAGTAGTTTTTTTTACATCACGCAGGTGTTAGCCAATAGGGGTGCGAGGTTCCTGTGACGTCACTCCCGCCCCACTAGTCCCTTTTTTTCCTGCCTCTCACAACGTTTCTTCAATGTTTTAATAATATTTCATCTTTAAATAAATGACCACATGTAACTCATTACAAGACGAATAGGTTAGGTTAGGTTAGGCAGGAAGATGGATCCATATTGTATGTTTTATTTGAGTATTTTATCACACAACCCGGAGCTGATGGCCTAACCTGCTAGCTCCTGATTGGTGTATGTAAATCAGGGGGCGGTACTCTTGCAACTCACACCATCAGTCATTTGCATATACTCTAATACCCTCATTGTGACGAAGGGGTAGAACATGGCTGCCCTCTTTACTAGTGATATGGCGTCGAGTGTTGGACTTTGGGGGCCACGGGACAGGGTGATTAGGACCTAACCTAACCTAACCTAACCTCTGGTCATATAATTAGGGATGAGGGAATAATAACAGAAATATTAATGGTCACAGTTGAGGGCCAGGGGAAGGCAGACACTGGGATGGATGAATTAAATTATAAACTGTAGCCCCCAGAGACATACTAAACCTTAGAACGTTTAGAGGGGAGGACTGTGGTCGCCAACCCTCAGTTATAAGGACGGTACCTCACTGATTGAACCTATCCTGTAACCTAACCTAACTTAACCGGCCCAAACGTCAGCTCACCCGTGGCGTCAGTACCTCACACATGCATCATAATACACAGTGGCTGATTTTGAATTGAAATTTGATTAGTTTTTGTCGTTAAATGATTGACAGGTTCATTGTACTGCTGATGACGTCACTCCCTAGCAACGGCGTTTTTTTTCTTCCCAGTAGCAACAAGGGAACGATTGTTACGGTCAACCTGGAGCCTAATAGCCTCTACCATTCTGAATAGGTTTATTACGAAGATAAAAAACCCAAAACATAATACTTCCATAGATTGGCGTAATTTCTGCTTCGTTTACAAAATATTGGAGGATTTCTGGGTTGACTTTACTCATTAAACAAGAAGGAAATAAGAGTGAAGGTAACAGAAGTGCTCAGCCTAGTTTAGATAAGTTCAATAAGGTATTAGTGTATATTTCCTTATTCGAACTACATCTAGTTTTTTCTGCTGCCTCAACATCATAAGGGAACTGTAGTTATCATAAGTTTTGAGATAAATTATAGTTTTAGTACATTGAGATTCACCCAAGCATATTTCACCCTTACACTATTTGGAGAGGAGGTTAGGTTAGGTTAGGTTAGGTTAGGTTAGGTTAGGTTAGATTAGATTAGTGTTACTGTTAACTTAGGTTAGGTTGGATTTAAGTTAGACTAGTATAAGTTAGCTTTAGGTTAGGTTAGCGTGAGGGTGGTGGTGATCCTATATGGCTCAACAAGACACTAACGTCAATGTCCAGATGAGCAAACCTCCTCCACCTGTTTCTGGTCGTGTGTGTCCAAAGATAACTCCAGCACGGGTTTACGGCTGTGCACCACACCCTTCAATAACACAAGGGCCACGTGATATAATTTCGTTGCAAACTGTGTCATTACTGGCCAGGTGTTGTTGTGCTAATGAGTTTTTTTGACGGATGATAAAGAAAACGACATGAGTCTCCGGCGGTGACGGTATAAATTTACAGTAACGTCATCACTAATTAGATAATATACCGTGCCAGTTAACGTTTGGTGGACGGGGTCTGTTGGTAATAATATAACTAAATTATATCTATTTCTCAGCACATATATTACTTGTTTTATCTTATAGCAACGAAAATATTCTACAAGTTCAGAAATGAACTGAGAGTAAAAACTTCAGGAGTACAGGACACAAGATCCTGATGG